ACAATTACTCGGCATTAACCTTACCAAGTCCACGGCAACATTGCGACGAATTGTGAGCCGAAGGAAGATGAAAACCGAACTCTAACCTGCTGGAGTGTTGCAAGTCCATTTTCAAATACAAAAGCGGGACTGACCAGCAAAGTCCTTTAGTCTACCGAAGGAAGTGGCAGAGGGTAGCATTTATGATAAGAGACATTTGGAAGCTAGATTGCTTAAACATCGCTACCATCCGTATGCCTTCACACAACAATTTCAAATGAGTTGTTTGATATTCTTCAAGTCTCTGAAACACCAACTACAAGTTTTGGCAAAAAACAGTTGGAACACGGCACCTCTGCATTACCAGCAGCTACATGAACGCAAGGTTGACAACAAGCGGACAGTAAACATTGAAAAGAATAGTGTGGCCTACAGCTCATTGTAAAAAACGAGACCAATGAGGTATTTTAATGCGGTAGCTTTGGGAATAGGCAGTGCTAAAAGTTAATGCTACAAATTGAACTACAGAATCCTCGAACCTGATGCGCCTCAACGCCAAAGCTCCCAGTACAAATGCCCACTTGTACACCCACAAACAAGTTTTTAAGCAGATTTGTGGACACCGGAATTAAACGACAAAAGCATGGCAATTACAAAATGATGCCCAAATCATATTCTGCTTGAAAAAGTAAAATCAGCACTGCTTTCACGACTCTACCGAAGGAACGGTGACTGCTCATGACACCATAATACCAGCAATTTCGAGAGAAAGCACTACCCAGCATTCGACAGAATAAAGTAAAAGCCCCGATTTTGTTATTTCAAATAAAGCTGGCCGGAGACATCCACATCTCAAAAAGCACTGATGTGAAGGCGGTTAGTGAAAAAGTTGGCGCATTTTGCCTGCAGTAGTGGTGTTTCCGTCGAGCTAGTGATTAACAATGAACAAATTTTGGGTTGCCACCTTCAAGCTCTTTAGCCCCAAGCTCTCAGTTTCGAAGCCTTACATCCCATAAGAGTATTATTATTATTATTTCCTTCCTTTGTTCTTAACGTCTTTCGCCTACACGATTAGGAATTTGTGCATCTTCCCACTATGGTAAGCTCGAGAAAGACATTTCACTGATGGCTGGTCAAATGCAAGCACTGTGGAAGAGAACTCACTAATCACCATTTGGGGCCTAATGAGAAATCACTCTTCTAAGCAAAAACGTCCCCTCTGCCTACGTTCACTGTCGTGGACTTAATAACCTGAAAACCTAAAGAGTGGAAACGTACAAGCCTTC